GAAACGCTATATCTTTTACTTAAAGAAGGCGATTTCGTTCTTCTAAATAATATATTAAAGTAGAAATTTAAATCTAACTACTTTAGACTCTTTCGGATTCTAAAGAAGCTATAGTTTAATATATACGTATTAGAAATAATAGACTAGAAGATTTTATATCTATTTATCTATAGAAGCCGTCTAATATAGTATTACTTAATAGATTTAGATAAGTAGATAATCTAATCGCTTACTAAGATATAGTAAATATAACTCTAAATAGTTAGAGATAGTATAACGAAGTCTTCGAATAAAGTACTTTAGATACTTAGTAATAAGTTTAATCTCTTAACTATATCTATAAAGATATAAGCTATTCTCGAATAGTCTTAGTCTCGAAATATATATAAAGTATATTAGTTTTTAGATTTAGCTTTCTACTATTAAAGATTTATCTAAGACTTTATAAAGATTATTATATCTCTATTTAATTTATTAATTAAGACGGATATTAAGCTTTAAAAAAAGAAGTTCTAATCTATTTAATAGAACGCGAGATATAAGTATATCTTCTAAGTACTTAAGAAGATTCTCGCTATTAAACTAGTTTTATAATAAGTTAATAAATTAAAGCCTTTTTATATAGAAATAGACTACTTCGAGTAGGCTTTAGGTTATATTCTTTTATAAGAAGGACTCGATAGAAAGTAGTATCTAGTTATCTATAATAGGCGGAAACTTAATAGAGCTAAGCTAAACTATTTTATATATAAAAAGAAGTTTCTTACTATTAAGTATACTCTTCGAATCTAGATTATATATCTCTAGAATAGCTATAAGATAGTTATCGTAATCGATTATAAGAGTCTAAAATATCTAAATACTATTTAGATACCTTTAAAGCGCCTTATATAATAGATTAATAAGTTTTTCGAGTTCGACTTAGATATTTAATATTATAAAGACTCCGAAGCTATTATCTCTAATACTATTTCTAGATAACTTAATTTTCTAAAAAAGAGCTCTATTAATAAAGTATAGATCTCTAGCGGCGTAGAAGTATCTCTAAATATCTAATAAATAGTATATTTAGATAATAATATAGAATAGAAAGATACTATTATAGCTTAATTAATAACGAAGAATAAATTCGACTTAAGCTCGGCCTAGAAAGAGTAGCTAGCGTATATTAAGAACCTAGATTAATACTTCGTAGAAGAAGACTATCTATTCTAAAAGATTAATAATTACTTCGCTCTCTTTATCTTTATATTATTTCGTTAAGACTTTATTAAGTACTATTATAAGTACTATAAATATTATAGCGCGGCTACTATAGAAAGTATTATTAAGATACGTAAATAGTAACTATCTATAACGAAGAATATTCTTATATATACTCGAACTTATAACTAATACTAGTTAGTCTAGAGATAGAAGAAGAACTAGAAAAAATTATATTTATAGGTTAAATAGATCTCCTAATTCTTTAAGAAGTAGATAATTAACTTCGTTAGCTTACTATTAACTATACTCTATAAGAATTAATAGATTCTAACGACTATTAACTTCTCTATAGACTAGTTAATAGTAAAGGTTATAAAGAACACTATAAATAAAGTAGTTATCGACTTTCTATTCGAAATCTACTACTAGTATAGAGTATTTTAAGAATTATTATTAAATAATA